GGTTTGGTACTGGGATTTGGGAGTATCTACTGGATTTGGTACTGGGATTTGCTGTTACTCATTTCCGGCAAATTTGCCCACCACTACAGACGAACTGAGAGGCGCGAAAAAACATTTGGAATGCGCATGCGCTGTAATATTAGGGTGCGCATGTGCAGTAGGCTATTATTGAGGGGGGGGGATGGAAACAATCAGCTTGTATTATAACGCAAATAGTGCAGTGTCCAAACCTTAATCTCTCAAAAACTATATATTTGCGAAAGTTTTCAGTTACATTTCCTAAATCAGGAGGCCAAAATACACGGATAAGCATGAAATCGGATATGTAACGTGAGTTGGACCTTTTCTATAAAAATACCGATATCTAGATCTAGCCTAGGCTACATACTAGGCCTACTACTAGAGAAAAGTAATTCTCTGTGCGATCCGCAACATCTCAACCAGGGTTGCCAGTGAGGCTTTTGCAAAATCACTAGATTCTAGATTTCCTGAAAAAAATCACTCTTTTTGTTTTTAAAAAAATCACTAGACTCTAGATTTATTTAAAAAGCGTGCCCCCCCCCCCCCCCCCCCTGCCTCCCACGAAAACTCTTCTTCAGTTTAGTTAAACAAAAAATTCTCAATTCAATTCTCAACCCTCTCTCCCCTCTTTTTTTCACAGCTAAAGACCTAGATTTAGGCCTATTTGGTATTATCCCTTTAAAAAAGCCAGGCTGAGGGCTGAAGGTAGTGTAGCCTAGGCTAGGCCTAGTAGGTATCCAAGAGGCCCCCCTGACACCTGTCAATCACAATTCCATAGTTGCGCACTTAAAGGCAATTTGTCATGACGCACGGCCCGATCTGGTACGATGGCAAGGGCCCTAGGCTAGAAGCGCGCAAGACAATAGCTAGATCTTGTGTGCCAGGTTTTTTCTTTCCTCGTGGTATTATAATTCGTTAGGTTCTAGAGCGGGCTGACTGAAGTGTCTTTAGGTCATTCCCAATGGGGGCAAAGATAGTGAATAACAAGATGGGCCACTCAGCCAAAAAAGTGTCCGCAGGAAGTATGCTCTTTGCTTCAGATGGCGCTGCAGTCTGTTTTGAAGCTCTCTTTCGTTTTTCCAGAAGAAGAATAGGAATAGCACCTCCTTGCGTGCGCAGATCGACTGCTGTTCATCAGCAGCTCGGGTACGTTCAGTGCGGAGTTTTA